GGATAGTTCAATATATATAAATTAATAAACATACTGCATTGACAGAAAGACAAAAAAATTCATATGATTATTTCAATAAATGATTTGAGACATCCTTTTGTAATAAAAACTCCAGAAAATTAGGTAAACAAGGAATACACTTCCACACAATAAAAAACAATTACAAACTTCATATAGAATCACTAAAGATCCAGAGGCTGGGGATATAGCTCAACAGCCCAGTGCCTGCCAAGTGCAAGGTTGTGAATTTGATTCTCATCACAAAAAAAAAAAAAAAAAAAAGAAAAAGAAACGAATCACTAAATACCCTAAATAGCCAAAGCAATCTTGACCCAGACCAACAAAGGCAGAAATACCAAACCAATATCAAATTGTATTACAAAACTACAGTAATCAAAACTGTGATGGTGGCAGTAAAAAGACACACAGGGACAGTGAAATACAATAGTACAATAGAGAGTACAGAAATAAATCCAAACAAACACAGTTTACTAAGGCTACACATTGGATAACATAGTCTCTTCAATAGCGCTGGAAACCCTAAAAAGCTATGTGAAAAAAATGGAAGTTAGCTCCTAAGTTACAACATATATAAAATTTAATTTAAAATGGATCAATTTAAATATATCTTACATCAAATACAAAAATAAAATCAACAGAACTGGTTGCAGTCTCACTATTTGAATGTTCACTTCGTATGCTTTGCTTTTATAACTTGAACAACTATTTCTAAGAGGACAATATGTAATTTATTAACTAGTGATTTCTGTTTATTTTTTGAAATTATGTATTACTTCTGCCCTTTTTCTGTTTTATTTTTTCCCTTTAAACAAAATTTTTTTAAAATAATAAATAAATAAAGCAAAAATAGATGAAAGACTTAAATTTAAGATCGAAAAACATAAATCTCCTAGAGATAAACATAGGGAAAAGCCTCTTACATAATGCAGACAAAGACTTTTGGGAATGACACTAATTACACCTAAAGCTGGGGAAGAAGAAAAGAAAGAAAACATAATCCCAGAGAGTCAGGTCCACACAATGACTTTATCACTACCCAAAATCAAAAACTGCGCAAGATTTTCTCTGGCTACAACTCCTACCATTGCAGCTTTTATTTCCTTATAGATCTATACTTTGCAATAATAATTATCTACCTCAGATGATTTTTTGAGAATTAAATGAAATAATGTGCATTAATGGTTTAGCACAAAGTTTGATCATGAGAAGCACTCAGTAAATGGTAGCCATTTTCATAGCAGGTATTCTATTATAAACAAATCATCTTTCAAGACTCGAATTTTCCTTGAACTCACTCTAAACCCCTGGCAATAATTAAATATTACTTTTGTTCCACACTACCACTTCTCCTGGTCTTTTTACATGAAAAAAAATCCTCTTGTTATTTTTCCTGATTAAGACATGAGGAAAGATCATCATAGTCTTAGCTCAACAGACTAATTCTACACCAGTGTTTCACCATTGCATTACCTCAACAAGCTTTTATATTTCAAGATGTGTATTAACTATTTTCAGAAATCTACCAACCTTCAAGATTGTTTTCTCTTATTTCTTGTTAGTGAACTCTGGGATTTCAAAATTCATAGAAACGCTCTTTGGATAACTTGACCTCACAGATGCTGCCTTAAATGCCCCAAGAGCTCCAAAAGTGTGTTTGTGTGTGTCTGCCTCTCTATGGGTTTTCTCTCCCTCCTTGCTCTTTTCCTCCCTCCCTCCTCTTTCCTTTTTTCCTCTCCCTCCGTATACTATGATATTAGGCAAGAAATCTACTACCCACCTACATCTCCAGACCAATCTTAGCAATTTCTACTGTAACTACCTTACACATTACCTATAATCATTAGACATTATCTCACCTCTGATACTCTAAATATTCATAAATGTTCCTGTTTAAAACTGCATGCCCTTTCATCTTTCTCAATCTTTTGAAACTTCCTTTTCCTTCTCACTATGCCTGACAGTCTTCTCTGCACCCTAGGCTATCATTCCCATTCTTTTTAATTTATCTCCTTATCCAGTGCAAACAACTAACCTCAGCTGGGCACTTGTTTTTCAGCATTCATCTTATTTAATGTGTAATGATGCCTTACTAAAGCTCCTAAAATGCCCTTCTCTAACCTTTTTCTTTGTTGAACTCTTAAAGCCACACTGTACTTTCCCTCACTAAGCAGAAAACATCACGCTGAGAAGACACAGGCATCCAATGTGAGGTCCCTCAGTATCCCTCTTCTGTCCTTCAAAATCTCTGCTTTTTTCATCTTCCACCTACTAACTGTGGCCTCTACACTCAAGTGTGTTTCCTTTATATCAAAGCTAATCCCTTTACTTGTCTTCTTAATTTTACCACCTCTTTATATATATAGTTAAGAGTCCAGATTCTGTGTTAAGAGTCCAGAACTCCAACCCAGACCATTTGACTTTATAGATCTAGCTCTATCACTTACTAATATGTTTCTTTGGGCAAGTAACTCAACCTTTCTTGGTGTTGATTTCCATACCTATAAAGCAGTGATTAGTGACAGGACCTATTTATAGTGCCACTGCAAAAAATAAATCAGGAATTCGTAAAAAACAGTGAAATGCTTAACTCATAGTAAATGCTCAGTAACACATAATAATTGTGATTACTACTATCTTTCCCTTTATACTAGCTCTCAGTACATTTTCCCTTGTCTTTAAACTTGCTCATACCTCCTTTTTTAAATGAAAAGATACCTTTTTTTTTTCAACTTGCCATCCCATTCAAACTTTTTCCCCTCTTTTTACCACTAAACTCCTATAAAAAATAATATCTCCTTTCCCAAAGAAGCAAATAGTGAAGACTTTACAGTCAAATATAACTGTGATTAAACCAGCTCTTCCACTAGCAGCTGTATATGATCCCAAATAAGCATTTTTTCTAAGCCTCAGTCTTCTAAATCTGTAAAATATTATACATATATTAAGGCTATTAAGAGGGCTAAACTGAAAATAATATATGTAAAACACATAGCTAACGTAGGTGCTAAGTGAATGCCAGTTCTCCATCTCTTATTCTTTCTTCAGCCTCTTACAATCTAGGATCTTTATTAATTACTCTACTAATGCTTCTTTATGTCACTTCAGTTTTTATTAGCATTATGACATTCACCGATTTATTTGACTTCACTAAACTTCAGTTTTCATCTGTAAAATAACATCTACCACATACAGTTGTCTTCATAATAAATGAGCTAACATCTATAAAGTGTTTCAGTATAGTGGCTGGCTACAATAAGCACTTAATGGTCATATTAAAAGACTTCTCAAAAAATAAAAAAAGGGGCTGGGGAGGGGATGCAGTTCAGTGCGTTCACTCTCCAGTACTTAAAACAAAAAGACTTCAACTCTCTCTGGTAGGCTTCATTGATAAGGCACTATTTTAATCTGCATTTAACCACAGACTATTTCTTCTGTCTGCACCTGCTCAGCAAGCTTTTCTTCTTTTCAAAAGAGGTAGGGGGGTGGGGGTAGTGGTGAATGGTTTCTCTTTTGCACTTCTCTTTATGTAAGGCACTTCCCTTCCTCTGAATCAGTCTTTTGTACTATTCACTACACAGAATTTAATCTCTTTTAGCCTCATTTCTGAGCACTTATTTATTCATGTAGAATGTTTAAGAGTTCCCAGCCTGCCAGAACTGTGTTATTAACAATACAAAGATTAACATGTTATAATTACTGCCCTCAAGCTTTTTAGGATGGTAAAAGTACAGTATATAGCATTTTCAGTGTAAAAAATGCTGTGCTGAGTATGCCTAGCCCAGCGCTCTCTGGGAGCGAGAAGGGAGGTTACAGTATTTAAATTAGCCCATGAGGTCAGCAGCTGTCTCTTGTAAAGGCATTTTTTTTCTTGGCCAATGGGGAGGCTCCACATAAATATCTGTTAAATGAATAAATTATGAGTAGAAAGAAACTAGATAAGGATGGGAAAGGGCACTTCAGGCACAATCGAAAGATTAGGTAAAAAGGTACAGAGAGGTGAAACAAGTAGTTCAGTATAGAACAACGTTCCAGAGTGAAGCGAGAATCAAGGCAAGTTGGAATAAAACTATTAATCTGACCCCTGGGCAAAAATAATGCAGTACAGATAAATGCTTCTAAGTAAAAGAAGGGCAAAATAAGATTTACCTTTTGGTATAAGTACTTGGACAACACATAAGAAAATGGGTTCCATGAGAGGCAAGGTTCAGCTAAAAAGGTGTAATATTTGAGGTAAAGTGTGAGCACCGCAACTATACACAGGAGGTGGACAACGAACCTACTTAAGATCGACTTTGAACTGAACTGAACTGTGCACATCTGTACTCCTCCAAGTCTAGCAAAACATTTTACACTAAAAATGCGCTACGTAAATATATAGAGGTCCTTTTTAATTGAAATCTACTTAGGCAATTGCAGCCAAGTAGTCAACAGAGTCGCTTCCGGTACACGGATTCATAAGTAAAAGCAAATTTCTCCTTATAAAATTCAGAAAGTACAAGATATTCGAATACTGACCATAGCAATACTAATTATAAATTAGTAGAGATTTGGACATCTGTATCATGGTCAGTTTCATCTCAAATGTTAGAACAAAACCCATCCATAAGGGTCATAAAACTCCGCCCTGTACACAGAGATAAACGGCAAGGATCCTTTTGTCTTTGTTGCAGCAGCTCCTTTCCCGGACGGCCATTTTCACCAATTTTCCCTTTAGTACCTACTCACTGTATTAACAGTCCACCAAAGGGGGCTAAGGAGCGAGCGGCGTTCCAGGCTGGGTTAACAGTAAGAGGACAGGCAGATATTGTCACGTTTCAAAGGTTAATCTTTTCAATTCTCTTACAAGCTCAGGTCTACCCTCCGCTTGCTATGGTGTTCCTTTAAAAAGATAGGAGGATCCCTTCTACAGTTATTGGAACGTTAAAAGCACAAAACAACAGCATAACCCCAAAGACACTAAGAAGTTCGTTCTCACTTACTCTAAAGGGCGCCATCTCTTTGACCTCTCCACCAATCTTTCTTACGGACAGTGCAGAGGGACAAAATAGTGGTTTACAGCTCTCCCAGCAGCTCCACCCCCTTACGCTGCTCTGACAGCCCTTTCTCCGCCCTCCTAAGGTTGCTTTGGCGTCTGCTGCAGTCAGCTAGTCGTCTGCATTCCACGAAAACGGTTTGCCTTTTTGATTTATCCTGTCTGTCCTGGATAATAGTATTCGCCATAGTTTAGTTTAAAGTTGTTTATTTGAGGGCAACTTTTCATTATTTTTGTTTTCAGGCACTTGTGTTTTGTGTACCTAAGAAACTGCAACGCTAGTCCAAATCTCTTTAAAAATAATTACGCAGTCACAAGAACTTGTTACTTCTACCATACATGGGCAAATTCATTTATTCGTTCTAAAATCGTCACGTAGCACCAACTCTATGCCAGTCAGTTGTTCAACCTATGGAACAAAACACTTCTTTTCTCATAGAGTTTATGGCTACAGGAGAAAAACAAATATTACAACGGGCCAAACACTATAAAAAGTAAAACCTTGGGTGAAGAATTTGTTTACACAGAATAGGTAAAGACTCTGATAAGCTTGATTTGCAGGACTTTACGGACGGGACGAGTGCACCATGCAGAAAGAACTGCAGATTAATTTAAATACCCTTTAATCCATGGCTGCATTGACTTAAATTCACTTTTGCAGAAGACCCATCTCCCCGGTTCCTATTATGTTTTTTTGCTCTTTATTAAGATGTGTACTGAACCAACTTCCCATGATACATATAATCATTATTTACTGCAAACCTGAACTAGTAAAAATGAAAATAATTGAAAAGGAAACATTCAGAGGTAGCGAAAAATCATATTATGTAGGGACTAACTGTGTTACTACGTGGAATTTAGATTTTATTCTGAATAAGATGGAAAGTCATTAGGGAACTTTGAGCAAAAAATGTGGCTTCATCTAAATTACATTTTAAAAGTATAACTTTGATGCTGCCTGAAAAATATATTAAAGGTAGATACAGTATTCTCAATAAGGCAAGGCCTCCTGTGAAAAATTCTGAGAAAAATATTCAAAATATGTCCAGCGATATTTTCCATATTCATTTATTTATTCATTCAACAGCTAATGATTAAATGTAAACAATATACCAGGCATTAATGGAACACCTTTCACATTTGATACCCAAAGCAGAGCTTTTTATCAGAACCTCCTCTATATGACAAAATTGTTGTGTCTAGAGTGAGAACAGATTTTATCTATCCGAACCTCATAAAATTTATACCAATAGACAATTAAAGATATGAGTTTAACAATAGAAACAAAAATCACTTTATTGGAAGAAAGAGAAAATGAAGACATAGACAGCTACTTTGTTGGAATAAGGTAGGGTACTCAGGTGCTACAGGGCTTTTATTCTTAGGCCCTTATAGTACATGGCAAGAAAGGGACCCACCCCCTTGACAGTTATTACGACTTGATTGACTACTTTGGGCCTTGAGACCCTTGATTTTGTCACTTACCATCTCTATTGCCTATGTCCACATTCCTTATTAAACTCCTTTTGACCTTCTTTGTTCTGACAAGGTATGTATTTCTGAAATTTATATCAGAGCCTTACATTCAAATCCAAGTTAACAATTAGTAAAGGCATACATGTACATACATGTACATTTTAGCGCTGTAACATAGTAATATTTATATATATATATGAATGTATATATGATATATATGTGTATATATATGTATGTATATATAATGTATATGTATAATACAGATGTATTATACATATACATTATATATATCTCATGTGAAGGAAACATCACCAATATTAAAATTTTAAAAAAAGTTCATCAGTCAATTATGAACAAAGATAATGATGAATTTACTTAAACCATCTATTGAATATGCAGAAATATTAAATTTTGATGATGTCATTGACATTAAAGTAGTGCATGTGTTATATACTGAGTTTTCTATAGTACCCTCCCCACTTTTACCTTACTAGAGGTGGGGAGGAGTAAATTGGGGTCCTAACCAAAGCTTGTTTATCAGTTTTTCCTGCTTCTCTTAAATGCTGTATCAGGGCTTTAACTCCAGTCAGCATTTGCCAGAAACTCCACTAAGACTTTTCCTGTCTTAACTCAGCTTTCCCTACAAAATTATTTTAGGACATAATCATGAAATAAAGCTTGTCAGGCATGTTCACTCATAACTGAAATCCCAGCGTCCGGGAGGATGAGGCAGGGAGATTACCATGAGTTCCATGCCACCCTAGACCGCACAGTGACTTACTTAAAGGCTAACCTGTACTACATAGCAAGATCTTGTCTCAAAAAGCGAAAAAAAAAAAAAAAAAAAAAAGAAGAAGAAGAAGAAAAAACTAATTATGATGGTCACAAACAAAACTGAGTGACAATTTTTGTTTTATTTATATTCATATATTTAGATATATATACAAAGAATAAAGGAAATAAAGATAATAATTTAAAACTTCATTAATGTATTTTCAGAGAAGAAATTACAATTTAGTCTATCACAGTAAAGAATATTATAGTTTTTAAACTGTTATTTTAATGTCAATAACATCATCAAAATTTAATACTTTTGCATATTCAATAGATGTTTTAAGTAAATTCAGCATCTTTTTCATAATTAATTGATGAACACTTTTTATTAATTTTAGTATCAGTGAAGTTTCCTTACCATCAAGTAACAGGTATATCAACAGAAAAAGTCATAAAACTCTGATTAAGATTGGGATATATTCATAGAAATCCAAAACTCTTAAGTATTAAAATATCAACCATGTCTTTATTTCTTTAGAATCATATATAAGGGAATTCATATTTCTTGCAATTGAAAACTTCAACTAAATTACCTTCAGAAAATTATAGATTTCTACCATAGTTGTTAACAATTTAAGAAATTTTCACCTTTAAGAATCTGAAAATGGCTGAATGAAAATTTGACATCATTTGTCCATGACTTGGAACAATTGTCCAGGGCTTGGTTTAAATCATTGAGCAAGCCAAATACATCCCTTTTGATTTCTGAGAGTCTACAAGCATCTTTTCTCATTTATCCTGTTGTCATTCCCTAAAATTTGCTTTTAAAAATCTAAATACCCATTTTCTTATGTTATGCTACTGCTTAACAAATGACTTGCTTAACAAACTCATTTGAAGTGGTCACATAAAATGGTACAATGGAAGTAATCCAGATTCTCTTTCTGTCTTTTACAAACACCATGCTATCATTGTTTATTAAAGTCTACTATTAAAGTGCAAGAATATGTGATAATCACCAGGAATGGACACATAATATGTAGCCAAGATGAAATTTCAACAATTCAGAAACTTTGTGAACATATTTTCTTTTTTTTTTTTTTTTTTTTTTTTTGTCTTTTTCATTTTTATCTGTACCAGGGATCCAACTCACGACTGCCTGCTTGCAAGGCAGGCGCTTATGCCGCTGAGCTAAATCCCCAGCCCTGTGAACATATTTTCTACAAGAATGCATGTAGTTCACTCAATATTTGCTCAACTGTGAATTTTCCCAACTAGCATTCCTGAAACTACAATGTCTGTTAGAATGTCATAAAAGTGTTCTACATTGAATATTACAAATATGTATATGATTTAAACTCAAAAGTAATTAAAAATGTTAGAATTTAAAGCAAAAAGCCATCAAAGAAAAGAACGGAATATCTTATCGCTGATATATGACAGAACTGGCAAAACACAGTGATGATAAAAGGCAGAATTATTTCATTTTATTTTATCATTGTTCTAAAATTCTCTACCATTAATCAGTTTCCTGTTTGCCTACAGTCAGGTGTGACTAATACCATTCCTGCCTGTGATGCACTGTTATGGTCTGGCATTTTTCTACATGTTGGGCATGAATCAAGAAATAAAAGAAACACAATTCTCAATCTGGTAGAAGATAACATTTTGTGTACAAAACTAAGTAAACATGATTGCTTTAACTGGTGATAAATACTGTGAAAGGTGACTGGGTTGGGTTAAGAGTTACTTTAGATTTGGGAGACAGAGAATTCTTCCAAGAACAGACATTTGATATAAAACCTGAGTAGCAGAGGATCCATTCACAAGAATACCTGTATAGGGGCTGGGGATTTAGCTCAGCAGCATAAGCATCTGCCTTGCAAGCAGGCGGTCATGAGTTTGATCCCCAGTACCGATAAAAAGCTAAAAATAAAATAAAATAAAATAAAATAAAATAAAAAGAATGCCTGTATAGTCCAGAGAGAGGAAACAAGAAATGTAAATATTGAGATATGGGAATAAATTTATTGCATCATAAGGGAAATATATAGCAATAGAAGAGTCAGCTAAGAACCAGAAGCATATGTAAAAGAATTTGGATTTTCTTTTTAAAGACCATTTCTCATTAAATATTGTATGTCTTTACAATTCATGCTGATTATCTTAGGGCATAATTGGCAGCTTTATGTAAAGGAAAATATTAGAGTCAGAATAAAATCTTGATCTTTAAAGTGGTATTCTTGTGAAATAAAATTTTTGAACTAAACTACAAGTGATGAAAATTCACATACAAAAAATAACCTGAACAATTTGATAAATGTGGATTTCTAGACATCACTACTGGATATTAGCATTTATCTGTTCTCATATAGGGACACTTCTGAAGTGTATCCCAGGTATTATTAATATATATATATTACTTGTGGCACCTTAAAAAATAATCAGGACTCAATGATTTAAAATAATATTTTATTTCATTTTTAAATTTGACACTCTAAGATTCTATATCTTATTTAATGTTATTTGGTGATCCTAGGTATCTTCAATGTTATTTTGGACACATGATATCTTCATGTCATGACTTTTACTCCATCTTTACTTCACCATCTAGAACAATCATCATGTTCTTGACTTTGTTATCATTAGTAGAACTAATTTCCTCTGGAATTTTAGATTCATACATTTTCTCTAACCTCAATTATTATAGTTTAAGTTCTTGCCCACATCTTTTATTTGACCCCTTAAAAATCTTTGTGTATATATACCACAGTTTCTTTATCCACTAATCAGTTAGTAGTCACCTAAGTTATTTCCATTTCTTCATTGTCATAAATAATGCTGCAGAAATATGAGAATGCAATTTTCTATTAGACAATCTGATTTCATTTCCTTTGAATATATATGCTAGATTATACAGTAGTATTATCTTTACTATTTTGATTCATGTTTTAAATAATTCTTACATTGATTTTATCATGTTAATTAATAAATCCTTCACCCTCACATACTTATCTCTTTTTCTGTGATTTTAAAAATCTGCTTTTTAGAACAACCACCTGATCCAGCAATCCGATTAGTGGATGTGTATCCAAAGAATTTAAAACTAGTGCGAGGGCCAGGGAAAATCTCAGCAGCACAGTGCTTTCCTGGAAAGTGCAATGTGGTGAGTTTGATCCCTGGTACAAAACAAAAGCAAATAATATAAAACAAACAAACAAAAAAACTACCTTGTACAATAAAAGATATCAGCACTTCCATGTTCATTGCAGCATTACTTATAATAGTAATACATGGAACCAACCTAAATATTTTTCATCAGATGAATTGATAAAGAATGTAACACTTATACACAATGAAATGCAATTAAATCCTCAATGTAAACAGATTCTGTCATTTGTAACATATGTATGAACCAGGAAGACATTATGCTAAGTAAAATAAGCAAAAATCAGTATGACAATAGGCATAGGATTTTATGGAAACTAAAAGTTTTACTGGGTAGTAGGCATTGTGTATCAGTGCTTATAAGAGAAACAGATTCAATACAAGATATACAAACATATAAGAATTTACATATTTGGCTTACAGTGGCTTCCTGCAGTGTCAGGTGTAAAAAACTTCAAAGGGCTAAATGTGCACTGGAGAGCTGGAAGATCCACTATAAGGCCTGGTACTCACTGAAGTGTCCCATGCAAGTCTATATCAGGAGGCTGAAGAGTATGCACTTGAAGGCTGAAGGGTCTATGCTGGAAGGTGAATAGTTTCCATTGGGAGCTAGGAAATGATGTCCAACGTGAAGGTCATGACTGAGGCTCCACTGAAGGAAACAGAAGTGATTCTTCCTTCTTTGTTTTCCTCTTATCCCATTCAGGTGACAAACCAATTGTTTGGTGCCACTCACATCCAGGGTGAGTCATCTGTAAGCCCCTTCAACCACACTCAGAACTATGCTGATCTAGTTTACTTGGGTATTTATTGCTCAAGTGAGCAAAGCTTAACTATCACAGAAGGTATGAGTAGATGATGAGTTCAGTTCCGAGTAGTGAAGTGTTTGTGAGATATCAAATTGCATACTGCAGGTTAGATGGGTGGTATGAACATTTTGTGATTTTTGAAATTCTATATATGGGTGATCATTAAAGTCTTGGGAATAGTTGAAGTTTCTCAGAGAGAACCCATAGTGGTTTTTCTACCAGTTATTTTTAAGTTTTATTTATTTAGTTATTTATTTTGCACCAAGGATAGAATTCATGACCTCACACTTGCCTGGCAGGTGCGTATGACGCTGAGCTAAAACCCTGGCCCTTCTACCAGTTACCTTTTAAAACTATTTGAATATTTCAGAGGAAAAATATAAAATAGTTGATTTAAACTTTTGAAAAATTCAAAGATTAATATATTTAAGAAATTCCATTAAGTTCTCATCAATCATTTTATTATCAAACTATAAAAGAGTTAAAAGATGATGAACGATTAGAAGAAAAAAGTATGAATAACTCCTTTCCTGTAAAAAGAAGACAGAAATCATAGTAATGAAAAGAGAAAAATGTATTAGTCAAAAATCCATTGCAACCAATCAAAATATCATTAGCATACCTCACAGAACTATAGGAAATATTGCTAAAATTCATTTGGAAGCAGATAGAGCTAGAATAGCAAAACAAACGTGGACAACAAAGGCAAATCAGGGGGCAGTATAAACCCTGACCGGAACTTTTACTACAAATCTACTGTGATAAAATCAGCATGGTAGTGGCAAAAAAAAAAAAACAAAAAACAAAAAACTGACCTAAACATCATTGGAACAGAATAGAAAACATAGATGAAAATTCAAACACACTTTGCCAAAGGAGCCAAACACGTCTGCTGGAAGAAAGGTAAACTCTTTGAATAAGTGGTGCTGGAAAAATTGGTTTTCTACATGATGAAGACTAAAACTAGAGACATGCCTATCATCATGTACTAAATTAAAGTCAAAATAAATCAAAGATATAAACATTAAAGCAGAAACACTAAATCTACTGGGAGATAAATTAGATAGAAGTCTTAAAGACATAGGTGTAGGCAAAGACTTCATGCACAAAATCCAGACTGCATTGGAATTACTACAAAGAATCAACAAATGAGATCTAATTTTATTAAAAAGCTTTTGTACAACAACAAAAATCATCAAAGAGTGAAAAGACAACCCACGGAATGGCAAAAAATTGTAGCCAGTTGTCCGCCAGACAAAGGACTTCTATCTAAAATATATAAATGTTTTAAAAAGTAAGGACCTCCAAATTCAAACACCCAATCAAAAATGGGCATTTGCAATGAATACATACTTCTCAGATGATGAATGATGAATGGAAAATAAATTTATGGAAAAATGTTCAACATCATTGGTTATTCAAGAAATGCAAATTAAAACAGCACTGGGATTCCATCTCACTCCAGAAAGAATGGCTATCTTCAAGAAATCAAACAATAACAAATGCTGGAAGGACTGATGGAAAGGGGACCTTTCTTCACTGTTGGTAAGAGTGTAGACTGGTGCAACTACTGTGGAAATCAATGTGGAAATTCCTCAAAAAACTGAAACTAGAGATTCTGTTTGACCTAGATATTCCTCTTCTTGAAATCTCCCAAAAAGAATTAAAAGAACCATACCACAGCGATATATGCATACATAAGATTATAGCACCAGAGTTTGTAATAGTTTAAGCTTGGAAACAGACCATAAAATCATGTTGATTGCTATGAAACCAGCAAACCAAGAACATGTTTTTCAACATGTAAAATGACATTAATTGTTTATTGAAGAATGGCCTGTCTGTGCTGATGTTCAGGGTGTAAGCAATAGTGTGTATTTGCTTCCATCTTCTCCTTTCCATCATTCTCCAGCATTTATTTACACAGTCAGGGATTTTAGATATAAATTATAATCATAATCTTTTTTATTACTAACTTGAAAATGTATTAATATTAGTCTATTGAAATTATTTGTTAACTTCCTAAAAATATGAGCAGAAGTGTTTTGACAAGTGATATTTTAACTGTTGCACTGCTTATTGCCAGTTCTTTTATAATACATATTTTTTCTTCTTGAGTTTCTTATTTTTTCTTTATTTCTTGATCTGGAGAAATACATCTCTGGTATTTTAAGGAATATATGAGTAATATACTTCCTGACTTTGTCATCTTAAGAATGTTTTTTCAGTTGTAAATCACATCATCATTTTCCCAAAGCATGTAGGTAAATATTAATGAATAATATACTTGATAAGGAAGTCTCCTGATTTGCACTGCTCTACTATTTTATTAAATATAATTAGCTCCAGAAAGATAGGGTATGAAGGAGATTTTCTGATATAAATTACACTATTACCAGTGTGGTCAAATAGAATGATACCCAAGTCTTGTAGGAGCTTTGATTTTGTTCAAATTATTTAAATGTTTCAGAGCCTTGGGTTTTTATTTTTGAAATGTGGATACTAATGTCTGTTTTGTATGCCCATAGAATTTTTAAATATATCAAATGTCTGACAAATGAGGTAATGTCATTTATATGTAAATTATATGTGCTAAAAAGAATCATTTTTTTAAAAAATGGTTAGGTGCTAGATTCTAAATGATAAGGTGTCTTTTTCAGTACAAAGTACACTTCAAAAATTAAACATTCAGCCCTTCTAATATCACAGGTAAATTTGGACAGATTTTAAAAATACAATTTTTGGAATTTCTGTTAAACAGTTGATAATGTACTGGCTTTTTGTTCTCCTTTTTGTTTTTGTCATTACACAAGACCTTCTTTTAAAGAGTGAAAAATTCAACATACCTTTTGGTTTTTAAAATCATTTTTCAAGAAGGCAAACTATTTTAACTCCAAAACCTGTAAGTCAAGAACCACAATTGTACAATGTTTAGAATTGTAAGTATAAAATCAAGCAGTGTCATAATGGTAATTATTTTAGCATAGATAGTAAACAAGAAATAATGCCACTTAAATTTAAAACTGACATGTTAACCAATAATTCTACATGACATTGATATTTTAAAAAGTATTATATGAAGGTGGGCATGGTGGCACACAACTGTAATACCAACACTAGGGAGACTGAGGCAGGAAGATACTTACAAATTCAAGAACAGCCTGGGCTACAAAGTGAGCTTAAGGTTAGCCTGAGCTGCATAGAGTGACCCAGTCTCAAAAAGACACAAACATAAAAGTATTATATGTCCACGCATGGTGGGGCATAACTCTGATTGCAACACTCTTGGAGGCTGGAACAGAAAGATTGCAAGTCAATGTCCAGTTCAGTATCTTACCAAAAATGTCCCCCTAAAGCCTCATGTGTTTGAAAGTGATTGAATATTGGGGGAAATATACATATCAGTGGGTTAGTCAAACAGTGGGTTTTGTAGCTAAATTCCAGTTATGAGGTAGTATGGGGTTCTGTCCTAGATCCCTGATCTCCCAAATGACTGTACGGCAGAGATTAAATAAAAAGAGACAAATTGTATGATTTTTAGGGCTCCAGGAGGGTCAAAACCCTTTAATTAAACTTGGTTCTTTGAGGGTGAATGTCGATGTCGCTCCCGGCCGGCAGGAAGGACACACGACAAAGTCTGGCAGTGGACAACCTTTTCTTTTATTTTCTCTCCGTACAGCCTGCCCTGGGATCGCTCCCAGCCGAAGCCTCCTCTGGTCCGCTCCCCGTGGCTCCTTCCGTGCTTCGCTCCGAAGCCTCTACCGGTCCGCTCTCCGCGGCTCCTTCTGGGCTTCGCTCCGAAGCCTCTACCGGTCCGCTCTCCGCAGCTCCTTCCGGGCTTCTACTTCCCCCCAGGGGTGGCACCAGTATATATACGGATACAGTGTCCAATCATATTAAAGTAAGCAAGGCAAGCTGATTGGCTAACATATTATTGAGCGGGTTGTTTACGCGGTAAGCAGGAAACTAACGTGCTCGATGGGAGGGGTAATCTAACTCAGGCTTTACTCTTTACCACAGGCCGCATGATCGCTATATTCGGCGGCTCAGCAATGTGGTGGCTCCCAACAGGTGAAGACAAAGGATTCTCTGGATAAGTCCACTTATATTAAGACCAAGGACAAAGAGTGGAGAAATTGAGGAAAATGCAGGAAATGAGTAGGACCTTGGGAGTCACTTCAAGGACGTCTCCAAGTCATGAATCAAGTTAATTTAGTAGCACTGTCTTATCATGAAGACATGGTAAAAGTGAGACTATAGGAGTGATCTTCACAGCTGCAGTCCCTACCTTGTTACTTGGGGTTGGAGCCAGAGTGTCTGCAGCTGTGGCCTTATCTTACCCTTTGAGGTATCTCTGGCCTCACAGGGCACTACAGGCCTCAGCCAGGACCGTGATTCATAGAGGTTCACTTACTATGAATCAGCTCCCGTTGCCAGGCAAGGGGCCTGGGCCTAGGACAGACTCACGGATAAACATAGAAAGCCAATTAATAAAATTTAAATCCTGCTCAGAGCTGCTTCATAGTAGTCTCCAACAAGGTAAGGTCTGTTTGGAAGCAGAACACTGGAAGCATGATGTGAAACAGTACACTCTTGTACTTAACTCCTCTCTTCCTTATTTCTGCTTCTGGATGCCTTGAATAAATGCCTTTTTTCCATCATATCCTTTCATTATATTGTTTTGCCTTGAAGCCAGCCAAGTGTGGAAGAAAATCACTGAAATCTTGGTCCGAATAAACCTCTTATTCTTTAATTTATCTCAGTTATTTTTCCCAGTAATGAGAAAGCTGACTAACAGAGAAATTGGTCCTAGAGAAGTAGTTTGCTATGATTGCACCTGATCACGTGTCCTAAAAGTTTTTAGAACTGGTTTCAGGAGTTGATAAAGTTTAAAAGATGAAGATTGGGGAAGCTCTAGAATACTGTAAACTTAATTAATGATTCTTGTTGGAGCTTGGAAGACAAAAGTGATATAGATACGCTGCAAGTGGAGGCCAGGTTCAGGAAGTTTCATTTTGGAATAAGGACTCTATTGGCAGTTGTTCTAAAAGTCAGGTGTATTACATTCTTTCAGAAAACTTTTCATCATATTTGAAGATAAAATCAGTGGATTAATTGATCTGGCAGAAGAAATTTTAAGGCAGCCCAAAATTTAGGGTGTGGCATTTGATCTGTTTAGTGGTCTTAAGCACATTCATAGTGAGAATCAGGAGTAAAATGCACAGCCAAGAGATATTTTTAAAAGGTTTCTGGTTTGTAAGAAAGCTACTTCTTGAAAACTTAGGTGAAGGAGAACATCTTTGTGGAAGACTTGAACATTTGAAAAGAAGCCAAATACTTTGCACCTGGACAGTAGGAGAAGCAGCTGTGAAGCATCTCAGGAGGAGGCTCCATAGTGCACTTCCAGAATCATAGGCTTTAAAGAGGAAATTCCTTTAAATGCTTTGCTTTGAGGAGACAGCCACAGAGTATCCCACTCAGAGCCACTTAAAGTGAATCCTCAGCTCTGCCACTGACACACTCAAAGGCTACTGCAGCCAAGCTCTTGGGGGTTTAGTTGTTTCTAGAGCTGGCAACAGACCGTGGCATCATCCACATGGTGGTGATTTTTCAGACATTCAAAATGCAAGACTGATGAGAAAATGAAAGTTTCGACATCGATTTTAAAAGAATACCCAGGAGGCTTTGCAAGTTGCCATTGAGAGGCTGGTTCATGAATCTATGACAGTAGAATCAAAAGTACAGAAAAAAACCCCAAAGTTTGGATTTACTAGGAATGTGGATAGGCAGCAAGCAAAGCCAGTACAACTGTTGTAGCCCAAAAATGAGACCCCAAAGTGTTGTCCCAAAAATGAGGTGAGATGTCATTTAAAAGAAAAAGGAGTGCTTTATTTAAGCTGACACCAGTGACAAAGTTTTGTGCAATTGGAGTTTGCAAAGCTGTGTAACTGGGTTAAAATTTTGTCAGACTTTTATAGGAGAAAACCACAAAGCAAATGATGGGAGAAGGAACAAAGTGAAGAAGACCTTTTTTCCCTTTTGCTTGAGGACAGAGAATTTATGGGAAGTTTCACAGTCAGTGGTCAGCTATTTCCTTTCTCAGAAGAAATTTACAGCCCTTGGTCTACTAATTCAAGGAATATCTGTTTTTCATTACAGTAATATCTGTTTTTAATTATAAGGGTTAAGACAGTGTGTGGAAGCTTGTGGCCATTTAATTTTGGACAACATCTGTCCCTCACAAAGGGGAACAAAGGTTAACATAGCAATCAAAAATCCGGGTGAAAATGCATAGAGAACAGTATAGTGGTGCTGTAGTTAATTTATAGCAATTTGGTCAGTGTTCAGGGTGGTCAGATGAGAAAAACAGCTGTGTTTGTGAAGGCAGTTACAAGGTAATTAGGTCAAATAACTAGGGCAATGGCCAGCATAGAACAGGATGACAATGCTCTTTTAGTGAGTGCACAGCACAAACAAAGAGGCCTAATGGCAATGCTATAGAAGTTGGTCTGCCCAAGCCTTTTGGAATTCACAGTGCACCACAATCTCAGGTGTTTAATGCAGAGTTAAAGATTTAATGCATGCCTTTCTGGATTTTGCACTTCTTTTGTCTGAATCCTCTCTATCCTATATACTTTTGAATTAAGAATGTTGAGTCTGGGCCATTGCATGTTGGAAGTTTTTAATTTTCTGTATTATTTTCACAGGAAATAAGAGTTTGTCTTGAGTCTCAGAAAAGACTTTGGACTTGGAGTTTTCACCAATATTGAAAATTTTAAGACTTTCATGACACTTAGAGCTGAACTAAATGTAATTTGCATGACAAGATGGACATGAGCCTTCTGGGTGCTGCAATAGTATGTTATAGTATAGTTTGAGAATTTCCCCTCAAAGTCTTGTGTTTGGAGGTACAGATTTAAACAGTGACTGAATCATGGGATGTTACACTCATCAATGTCAGTGGATTAATCCATTGAGCATGTTAAGTTCATAGCCAAGTGTGTTGTTAGGAGGTGGCACCTGGTTGGGGAAAGGTCAATGGAGGCATGAGTTGGAAAGTTATTACCTTTCTTACAAAATGCCTCATACTAAAAATTAAATGGGGAAAGATTTATTTAGCTCATAATCTGTAGAGGTTTCTTTAGCTCACAGTTTGTAAAAGTTTCAGTCCATAATCAGCTGACTTTAAGGCAGGGTGACACATAGCAGAGGAGCAACAGTTCATGGTGGCAGAAGACAAATGCACCAGGGAGTGTGGGTGTGCAAGCCTCTTTCTGTCCTGTTGTATGCCGACTACATGCCCTAGGGTGAGTGTAGCATTCAAACCCATAATCATAGTGTTGAATTAATCACAACATATAGATTCAGTCCCTTCCACAAAGTCTGCTACCCATGAGTGCATGAGGATTTGAAGGGATGTCCCAACACAAATCATAACAGCTGTATTCTTTCCCCAAGTTTCTCCCTTCTCTTTATGGCTGCTGTAAAGAGACCAACTTGCCTGCGGCATGACTTTTCATCAGTGGAATTTCTATATTGGGGTCAAGTACCCTGGTCCTCCAGCACTGGATTTGAAGTTAGAGATATAAATTCAACTCTAATATCTATAAATTACTAAAAACACAATTGTACCACCCAACATGTAATTCTTTCATTTGTAAAATATAGATCTCTAATGAAACATTTATGTTGTATTTGAAGATTAAATGATAAATTCCAAAAGTTATACTTAAAGATAAAATGGTCTCATGATGTAGAATATGTCTTTACAGTATAAATTTATACAGAGATACAATAAATCATTTTCACCATATTATTTAATTATAGTAATAGAAATAAAATATCTAAAGATGGGAGCATAAAATTTTAAGCAGTGACCATGTGGGGCTGGGAAGAGAAACAAGAAACACATCTGCCCTTCCCCTGAGCCAGCTGGTGCATGGGCTGAGAGACAAGAAGAGTGCCCCCCAACCCCTGTAAGCAACCAGCTGATTTGGAGGATCATAGGATGAGTTGATAGCAACTGAGGTACAAAACAACTTCATTCTTGTATTGTTTGACTGATTTTTCAGACCTAAAGACAATAGTATGAGCACTTTTAGAGGATAGCAATATGCAATACAGCAACCCACAGGTTCCAAACTGTTGCATTTGCATTTTGGTTTGATTGTATATATTGGTTAACTTGTTCTTTAATTTTCTCTTTTACCCATTGGTTGTTCAATAAGGTGCTATTTAATGTTCATGTATTTATAGATCTTTTGTCATTAATTTCTAATCTAATTTCAGCCCACTATGGTCAGATAATATGCATGGGATAATTTCAATTTCTTTGCATATAATTAAGAATGTTCTATAGGTTAGTATATGATCTATTTTAGAGAATGTCCTATGTGTGTCTGTAAAGAATGTGTATTCTAATTTTCTTGAGTGGAACACTCTATAAACATCTACTAAGTCCATTTGTTTGCAAATTTAATTCAGTTTCATGATTTATTTGCTGAGTTTTGGTTTAGTGGCTCTTTGTGATAATTGGTTTAGTTTATTTATTTGTCTCTTTGTAATAATGGAGTGTTAAGGTCTCACATTATAATTGTATTATTTATTTGATATTCTTTTTTTTGTCTTTTTGAGACAGGGTCTTGCTATGCAGTTCAGGCTGGCCTTGAGCTCATTTTGTAACCCTCTTGCTCTTCTTAATTTGATGGTCTGTGTTCAGAAGTCTACCATAATTCTGATAGGCTTTCCTTTATAGATGAGCTGTTCCTTTTCTCTAGCAGATTTCAGTTCTCTGTTTTTATGCTGAATTTCTGGGATCTTCATTGTTACATGTTGAGGTATAGATTTATTTTGGTTATGGATAATTGCATTGTGTATACCTTGTTGCTTTGAATGTCAGGATCTTTCCCCATGTCTGGGAAATTTTCTTCTATTACTTCTACAACTAGATTTTTTATGTCATTGTCTTTGTTTCCTTTTGTGTTTCCACCTATAATCCTTATGTTGTTTCTCTTTGCAGTATTTTACAGCTACTGAATTGTTATGTTTCTGATCTCTTGTTATTTTTCAAAGATCTTTCTTTTTATGATCATTAGCCAAAATCCTGTCTTCAAAATCTGAGAGTGTCTTCAATTACTTTTATGGGGCTTTACCAGTTTTGAAAGGAATTTTTAATTCCTGGAAATCTCCTAGAAAATATTTCATAGATTCTAATTGTTTCTTGTACAAAAGATGGAAAACAATACTTCATGCAAGAGAAACTGAAAAAAAAGTGAGGGTAGTTTTTATTTTTGTAGACAATGTGAACTTCAAAGTAAGAATGATCCTAAGAGATAAAGAGGGTCACTACATATTGGTTAGGGCAAAACTTCAAGAGAAAGAGACAACAATGTTAAATATATATGCACCAAATTCCAGAGCACCCAGTTATATAAAGCAGGTATTAATATAAATGAAAAACCAAATTAGCAATAACATAATTATAACAGGAGACCTCAGCACACCATTGACACCAACAGACAAATCAACCTGATGGAAAATCAGCAAGGAAATAAAAGAACTGAATCACACCTGTGAACAAATGGACTTGATAGACATATACAGAGTGTTCCATCCAAAAGCAGCAAAATATACAATCTTCTCATTTATTTGATATTCTTTTTTTTTTTTTTTTGAAATCAGGGACATTTTCTAAAACAGATCATACATGCGTCCACAGAACATATTTAAGTAAATGCAAAAGAGTTCAAATTATCCCATACATGTTATCAGACCATAGAGACATATGCAAAAAGAATATGCAAAAACCACACAAACACGTGGAAATTGAACAATACATTCTTGAGCACTCATTGGGTCACAGAGGAAATTAAAAAAAAACCTTTTATAAGGTCCAATATTCATTCATGATAAGAACTCTACAGAAAATTGAAATTGATGGACTTTACTTCAATATGATAAAGTCCATCTATGACAAACCAACAGCCAGAGTCATATTAAATGGTCCAAAACTGAAGGCCTTTACCCAAAAATCAGGGACATTTTCTAAAACAGATCATACATGCGTCCACAGAACATATTTAAGTAAATGCAAAAGAGTTCAAATTATCCCATACATGTTATCAGACCATAGAGACATATGCAAAAAGAATATGCAAAAACCACACAAACACGTGGAAATTGAACAATACATTCTTGAGCACTCATTGGGTCACAGAGGAAATTAAAGCAGAAATTAAACAATCTCTACAGACAAATGAAAATACAAATACAACTTACCAGAATCTGTGGGATGCAATGAAAGCAGTCCTCAGAGGAAAATTTGTTGCACTAAGTTCCCACATCAGGAAAACAGAATGAATACAAATAAACAACCTTATTCTACACCTCAAACATCTAGAAAAAGAGCAAATCAACCCCAAAGCCAAAAGAAGAGAGGAAATTATTAAAAAATCAAAGCAGAAATCAATACAATAGACATTAAGAAAACAATTCATAGAGTCAATGAATCAAAGAGTTGGTTCTTTGAAAGAATAAATAAAATGGATAAGTCCCTAACAAACCTTATTACAAAAGGAAAAAAAAAAGCTCAAATTCATGCAATAAGGAATGAAAAAGGTGAAATCACTACAGACTGTGGAAATACCCAAGATCATCAACATCTATTTCAAAAATGCTACTCTCATAGGTTCAATAGCACAGGAGAAGTGGACAGATTCCTAGAAACATATGAAGTACCAAATCTAGGTCAAGAAGATGCAAAACTGTTGAATAACCCAATCTCTATGGATGGAATTGAAAATGTAATTAAGTCCTTACCTACAAAGAAGAGCCCAGGCCCAGTGGATTCACTACAGAAATCTACAGGAAATACAAGAAAGACTTAATGCCAAGACTCCTCAAACTCTTCAATGAAATTGAAAGGGAAGCAATCCTTCCTAAGTCATTTCTGGAAGCAAATACTACTCTAGTACCAAAATCTGAGAAACACTCAACTAAAAAAAAGCGAACTACAGGCCAATCTCCCTAATGAACACTGATGCAAAAATCCTCAATAAAATATTGGCAAGTAGGATGCAGTAAATCATCGAGAACATTATACACCATGACTAAGTGGGATTCATCCCAGGCTTGCGGGGATGGTTCAACGTATGCAAACCGATAAATGTAATCCACCATATCAATAAAGCCAAAAGTAAGAATCATATGATAATTTCGATAGATGCTGAAAAACCTTTTATAAGGTCCAATATTCATTCATGATAAGAACTCTACAGAAAATTGAAATTGATGGACTTTACTTCAATATGATAAAGTCCATCTATGACAAACCAACAGCCAGAGTCATATTAAATGGTCCAAAACTGAAGGCCTTTACCCAAAAATCAGGCACAAGACAAGGATGTCCCTTATCACCCTTCCTATTCAACATAGTACAGGAAATACTAGCCAGAGCAATGAGACAAAAAAGCAAAATAAAACACATAAAGATTGGAAAAGAGGAATTTAAATTATCATTATTTGCAGATGACATGATACTCTACATAGAAAACCCTCAAAACTCCATTAAAAGACTCCTATATATAATAAATAAATTCAGCAGTGTAGTTAGATACAAAATCAATACTCAAAAATCAATAGCATTCCTATACACTAACAACAAAATTATTGAGAGAGGAATAAGAGAAGCCACACCCTTCACACTAGCACCCAGAAAAATGAAATACTTAGGAATTTAAATCACAAAAGAAGTAAAAGGTTTATATAGGAAAAATTATAAAACCCTGGAAAAGAAATTGGATCTCAGACAATGAAAATAAATCTTTTATTCATGAATAGGAACAATAAATATTGTAAACATGACCATTCTCCCCAAGCTGTTATACAGATTCAGTGCAATTTCAATGAAAATATCATCAACATACTTCATAATCTAGAGAAATCACTCATAGAATTTATCTGGAACAAGAAGCGAGCTAGAATAGAAAAGGCCATTCTAAGCAACAAATACAAGGCAGGAGGCATCACAATCCCTGAGTTGAAGTTATACTACAAAGCTTCTGTAATAAAAAAAAAAGGGTACTAAAATTAAACACATCTGAAGATCAATGGAATAGATTAGAAGATAAAACCACAATTACCAACATATTCACTGGAAAAAACAACATTCTCTTTAATAAATGGTGCTGGAAAAACTGGCTCTCCATATGCTGAAAATGAAAACTAAAACCATGCCTATCACCATGCACTAAACTAAAATCTAAGTGGACCAATGATCATAATATTAAAATAGAAATACTCAATCTTTTGGAAGATAAATTAGGGGAAAATCTTGGAGATATTGGGGTAGGTAGAGAATTCATGAACAGCAGTCAAACTGCACGGGAAATTATTTCCCAAAATCAATAACTGAAATCATGCCTTATTAAAAAGCTTCTGCATGTCAAAAGACATCTTCAACATGTTGAAAAGAAAACACACAAACTGGGAAAATATCTTAGTGAACCATCCCTCAGACAAAGGTCTTTTTTCTAAAACATATAAGGATTTTTAAAAAAGTCATACCCCTGAAATTCAAAGACCAAATCCAAAAATGGGTATCTGAGATGAATACATAGTTCCCAGATGAAGAAATTCAAATGGAAAATAAATACATGAAAAAATGTTCATTATCATTAGTCACTAGAGAAATGAAAATTAAAACCCCACTGAGATTCTATCTCACTCCAGAACGAATCAAGAAAACTATGAACAACAAATGCTAAAGAGGCTGTGGGGAAACGTGAACTCTCCTGCCCTGTTGATCAGAGTGTAGACTGTTGCAATCACTGTAGATTTCAGTCTGGAGATTGCACAAAAAGCTGAGATCCAACTATTCCACTTCTAGGCATATTCCCAGAAGAACTGAAAACCTCATACCACAGTGATATATATACACCCATGTTTATAGCAGCACAACTTGTAATAGCCAGACCTTGCAAACAATGTAAGTGTCCATTAAGTGGGCAATGAATAAAAAAGTTGTGGTTTTTTTATACAATGAAGTACTACTCAACTATAAAGATTGATCACATTGAAATACTTATAAATAAATGGATGCAACGTGAGACCATACTCATAAGCAAAATAAATGAAACTCACGTGTACAAATACCATATAGTCTCACTAGTGTAATAAATTGTAAGAGTACATAAGAATTAATGGTAATTATGATTACCCATTACATTGCTTTGAAGCCTTATAATGTTTTCATTCATTAGTTGTAATGTTTTTATCCTGGTTTGTCTGATTTTATTATCTGTGATGGCATGAACAGCTATTTTGAAGAAAACAAGACATTATAATATCCAGTGCTGTTTTAATATCATCTTGCTCTGAAGTCCTTCCATGCTTTTGTTCTTCTGTTTCCATTGATTCTATCATGTTGTATCTTTTTACATTTTATTATGTGTAATAATATAAACAAAATTTCTATGAAAAATGAGATATTTTAATAGCCATTGTTCATTTTCTGTTGTTTGGTTTTTAATTCCCTGTAATACTTTCATTATCTTGAATGGTTTTATACTATTTTGTTTTGTTTGATACTATTGTATATGAAGTTATGCTCAATTATTTCAAAGAAAGAGACATTATCATAGTTACGGTTAATTGCAGCTTGTCTTGTGGTGAAATACTGTGTTGCTTACATTTTTTGTTCTTATCTGCTTTATCATGCCATCTTTTGTTTTAATGGCTTTAAAATAAAAAATTTAAAAAGCAATGTAGTACATATGTGCAATAGAATACTACTGAGCTATAAAAAAGGATAAATTTGTGGCATTTGCAGGAAATTAGATGAGTATGAAAAATGCAATGTTATGTGAATTAAACAAGTCACAGAAGCGTAAATACCATATCCTATCTTTCATTTTAGTCAGGAAAATTATAAACAAACAGAGTTATAAACATAGAAGGAAATAAGGTAATAGATCTCTGGAAAATACAAAATAATCTAGGAGCATGAGGGTAAGGGAACAAGAGGAGGAGAAGAGAAAATAAGAACTAACATATGTCATTCACAGGAACCTAATCACATCAATGAATGTAAACATTACACAACGTAAACATGTGCTATGACTACTAAGTACAAGAACAATGCAAATGAGAAAAGGAACTTTAGTGGTAGAGAGTAGCAGATGTTTGAGAATGGAATGAAGACAAAAAAATAAACAAGCAATATTATGTAAATGTGGCCATTTCCTAAGGTAAGTGTAAATATCCTGTGCTGTATTTATGTACCAAGAATAGAAAAGGAAAGTATGTGATAAGAATGATGGGATAAATATGTTGGAGTTGAGATATTAAGGGAGAGTATTGGAAATGTGTCTTTTAACATAATAAAGTTTTAAAATTTAAACACACAATATTTTTCAATAACACTTCATATATTCATATCCCCTACTACTCAACATAACTCATACTCTTTTGGTATGGAAATTAAAAAGAAACACAAGAAAAGAGGAGAATTGTCTTGCAATAAAAAATTATTTAACAATACAATAAATCTTTAAAAGCCCACTGTGACATGTTAAGGAACTATTGAATATATATTCTGTGGGTTCATTTTGAACATTAACTCTGTATTTGGATCAAATATTAGTGAAACTAATAGCATTGTATTATAATTTAACATCTTAAAACTTGAAGTCTATGCTCATTTTTTTTTATTTAAGGAGAAAAAGAAAAAAAACAGAAAAAGTGTACAAGTAATACAAAATTTAAAAAATAAACAGTAAAAAATCACTAGTTAATAGATTACACCTTCTCATCTTAGAAATAGTTGTTCAAGTTACAAAATTGAAGCATATAAAGTGGACTTTCAGTGAGACTGCAAACAGTTTTGTTCAATGATCCAAAAAAACTCAGTAATATGGTTATCTATCTTATACACTTAAACTTATATGCAATTATAACCTTTAGAGCACTTTCTTTTCTTTTCTTTTGTACAATGACAATTACACATTTTGGGTTTTATTATTCCCACAGTTCTTATTATTTTTTTTGAAGAGAGTAAAACCAAATGCGACATATCAGAACAGAGTCAGTCAAATCAAAAGGATAGACATAATAGACAATGCAAAAACAAAATACAAGTGATCAACAAAGGTTACCATACTGCCTCTTGCTATTTTAAGAAGAATTACAAGTTATAATAAAATTGAACAAAAGAGTAAAGAATAAAACCAAAGCATTGGAGACATTACAGGACTTTAAAAGAAGATAATAGTCAACCAGAATGGGTGTCATAATGATTCTTATTGTCTTCACAGTTTTGCCTATACTTTCAAACTTGGTACTATCAAGCAAAGCAGAATAGGGGAAATTCAGTCAAAACAAGATGGTGAGGGCATTACAGGATTTCAAATCAAGTTGATAGGAAATCAAAGTAGGTTACTATAATGTATCCTGCTATTTTTATTTATTTTTCCCTTAATTAAAAAGATGAAAAAAGTAAATAATTAAGAAAAAGGAGGGGGGATTGAGATAAAAGAAGGCATAACAACAGAACAGTGCAGGTCAAAACATAACCATTTAAGCAAAACAGTGTTTCACCAAAAGATATCTTGACATAAAAATAGTTACCATAGTGTCCCTTTCCTTGAAATCTTTGAGTATAACTTTGTATACTGTAATATGCTCATTATTCTTGATGCAATTATTTAGTGAATACCGTAAAAGGCAAATGAGTTCAGAGAAAATTCTTTATTGTGGTTTCTTTTTGTTGACTGAAAAAACACTTTATTTATGCAACATATTCTTCCAGTTGTGCATATATTTTTTGATTCATTAAAAGACATTTGAACAAAACAGCAAAAATCCCTAAATATACCACATAGTGATTTCCAAATGTAAGTTATTTCTAAAATTCCCCTGGCTTTAGCAGATTTGGTAGGTGAAAACACACATACATCATGTTATTTTAGTTTCCTGGTAATCTCTTTGAACAAATACAAATGTTGAGGAGACAGCATTTTAACATCACTTAATATTCAATCTGCTATTATGGATGTACTAAAGCCAGACACAATCAAACAAATTGTATGCCATTAAGAGCTGTAATTGTGTTTAGAGCCAATCAATGAGCTTATGTAGGCAAAAATGTATGAATGAGAGTAGAGCTGAATAACAAATGCAAGAACCCAGATATATGCTATAGAGAAAATGTATAAAGAGGGGAGTGAATACCAAGGAAAAGAGGTGTATGAGTAATATATAGAGAATGTGTAGAATAAGAGAAACAGAGTGGTGGGAAGCATTTTTAAAATATAGTGTTAGAGTAATAGAAATGTAATTACACTCTATATAAGAAATCTTGGCAACTACGTATAGAAATAATTTCTGTTAGGAGTTACCCATTAAGCAAAAAAAAAAATCATTCAATAATTCATATTGCTAGCTGGCAGCTCATGATTTATAAAGAAGTGAAGAGGAGAAGAGTAAAAATATCAGTAAAAAGTTAAATTTCATGGTCATAAAGTATAATAAATATCTGAGAGTTTATTTTGCCATTCTTATTTTCAGATGGCTACCAGCATTGGTTTTTGAGAGGTTAAAATTTTGGTAAAGGAAAAATTTAAATATGAAAAAATGGGTAGAATATTCTGTATTAAAATTAAAGAAGGGAAATTATCAAAGATGGCTTCCAAAAATTAGATTTTGCATAGGTATTACAAGGATCTGTAATTGTTTTTGCAAAATAATGTGAAAGGAGATTATAACATGTAAATTTGCTACTTTAAAAATTAGATTAAATTAGAATTGCTGAAGGACACTGGCAATGCTGATGATTATTTTTTAAACTACATTTAGTCATACCTACAGTATTGAGAGCATATCTGTATGTATACACATATTTATTGATTTCAGAAAGGTGTTTATATTCTACAAACAATTTCTAAAGTTTAAAATTCATGTATGATGTTTTATGTTACTCATGATTTACCTATGCCTGTTATTGGAAGATGTTAATAGTGAAGTGATGCATGTGAGCAACTCCAGGACTTTTATAGTTAACAGGTTTTTCAAAGTGATTCAAAGTGTTTTCTGTTTCTGAAAATATAAAACTGGAATGACATTTGATAAGATACAAGTTATAGGCATGCTAAAGGAAGAAAGAAGGATCTAACATACTCTTCAAAATAAATGGAGACAGAAAAAGGAAATGGAAATAAAAAGGACAAAAGATTTCAGTACAATTTCACATATGGATTATAACAGCTAATACTCAGGTTCCAGTGGAAACATGTTTCAGTAGCAGAAGCTATTCAGCATTCAGCTGAAGATGCCACTAGACCCTAGAATTCAACAATTGAATTAACAAGATTGAACTGACCTGTGAGCTGTGGCAGAAAATTACTATTTAAAGTAGGAAACTGAGGGCCCAGAGCCATCTGTGATCTGCCTTGAGAGCCTAAAGTGTGTGTAGCAATTTCTATCCCACTGGGAAACCTTGGAACATTGTTCAGAGACCTGTAGGGTCCCACCCAGAATCCTCCATCACCAGAGGATGCACAGGAAGGCCCGTGTAGATCTATTTGGGCCCTTCTCTGTGACCCCCAAAGTGTCCTGGAGTGAGCTGCGCTCCACCTCATGGGCCAAAAGTGCACACAGTGATTTCTATCCCACAGAGAAGTTTTGGTGCATCACTTGGAGACTGGTAGGGCCCTGCTCAGTGTCCCTCATCATCTGAGGACCAAAGGGAAGTTCCCTTTAGGCCCATTTTGGCCCTGCTCAGTGACCCTGAGTGGCTGGGATAAACCTGGTAAGGTCTGTTTAAAGATGTCCACTCAACTGGAGAAACTCCCTGCTCTAGGGAAAGATATTCTCAACCTTAGAAACAACTGAGACCTTGACTTCAGTTTCTCTAAGGGGATATAAGAAAGTGACAAAACAAAAGAGCAAAATGCAGTCCCAAACCTCCAGCCCATCCCAAATAAGCCTAAAAGATATGCACATGGAAGAAAATGTAAGCCATATACCTGAAACTCCTGAAATGATAGTGATGAAGTAAAGAAACAACTGTTTGAGCTATAAAAGAACTCAGATCAGAAATAATCTCCCAGGTAAAAGCAGAAATAATAAATATAATGAAACAAATGCTGAAAACATATAAAGAAGACATAGCTAAAAAATTAGAAGAACAATGCAAAAAGATGGAAAGCTTGAATAAACAATTTAACAAACAAACAATGCATGAAAACAGATTCAAAGAGATATACAGGAAATCAAAAATTTCACTGAAAGTTAGCAAAACTGCCTCAATGAAAGTGAAGATAGACTTTCAGACCTCAAAGGAAAGATTGCAGCTAGTTGACAGGAGAGGAAAGATCTTTTAAAAATAATAAGGAATCAAGAAATGACAATTCAACAGCTGCATGATGATGCAAAGAAAAACAACATAAGATTGATAGGGATAAATGAAAAAGAAGATGACAACACAATGTGATATCAGGAGGCTATTTATAGAAGTAATAACTGAAATTTTCCTAAACATTAGAATGAAAACTGAGATACAGATCAGTGAAGCACATAGAACTCTAAATAGCCATAACCAAAATAAAGCTACACCCAGACATAAAATACTCAATATCCCACAAATCCAACATAAGAAAACAATATTAAAAGCTGTTAGAGAGAAGTGACAGATTATAAAGGAAAGCCTATCAGAATCACAGGAGACTTCTCAACACAAACATGAAGTCAAGAAGAGCCTGGAGTAAA